CAGCCCTCACTCCAGGTAGATTGTCTTGTACAAAGCAAACGTCTGCCTCTCTGTTCTCAGTAGCTCAAGGTCAATCTTTTCAGTGACTTGGTTTGAAGTTTTCTAAATTTCAGTTCTTTGTACTTTTCACAGGGACAAATGATTGCTGATGATCAGCTTTGGCAGAAGCACTGATTTATTTTTTCTTATGACAGTTTAAAAGCTCTTTTATAAGTAGCTGAAGATTTTTAACATCTATGTGAATGAAAATCTTGCTTATTGGATGAAGCACTATGTAGAGACACAGACCCTAACTAACCTCTTTTGCCCAGTGCAAACAAACAATGTCTGCTTGTGATCAAAATCTATTTTCTGGCTGAGAAAACAAGACACCAAAATATTTATGTGTGTGTTTAGAGTCAAGGTCTTGTCTTTGGTTGAAAATAACCCAAAATCCCTTTCAAAGACTGACCTGCAACTGAACGACAGTGCCTGTGTCCTGTGCAGCCCCTCCCGCTCCCCCATTCCTTAACACTCGTTTTCTGCCATTATTCCTCCTGGTTACACCTTATATTTAAGTCTAGTATGATCTGGGAGCGCATCAGACTGTATCCTTAGATGGCCTCCTAATCCTTAGATCCCTCTCATTTTCTTTCCCCTTTCTCTGGTCCTATTTTGGGTTCTCACTGATTTGTCTGCCTTACATCTTCTTTTTCAGCCGTAGGCATGACATTCAGGACCTTTGCACTGGGCTACAGCCCAGTTCTTCTTATTTTTTTGAGACTTGGTCTCGGTAAGTTACCCAGGCAGGGCTTGAACTTGTGATCCTCCAGCCTCAGCTTCTTAGAAGGTTGGGACTGCAAGTTACACCACCCTGGCTTTGAGCTTCCTGCTTACCACCAGGCTTCACTGAAGACTTCCCAGATACAAACCTGATCAAGTTTGCCCCCCTCATTCGCAGCTCCCTTCAGTGCTAGACCAATCACAAAGCCTGGCCTGGCCTTTCCAGCAAAGCAGGACCTGAGTCCTGTCTGTACGTCCTCTCAGCCGCTTTCCCTTCTGTCATCTTGCAAGTGCTCAGGGTAAGCAACTCACAGCTGCCAAACCCTCACACCACAGCCATTCTTGTTTCTGAGGTTTCCAACTGGAATTATCTTTCTAACTGTGTTTGTCCACAGAGCTCCTGGCCCTGCTCTGAAGGCTGAACTCAATGTCACTAGCTCATCAGCACGGCCCACCCTGGTCTCGCCGATAGCTGGATGTCCTCTGCCTTGCCTTTCCCTAGGGTTTTCAGGAATCTATTTTATCTCTTCACACACAACATTGCCATTCTTTCTTGGCTGTATAATCTACCCTCCAGCAAGTCCTTCTCAAGAATTATGTTGCCAGGGCATAAAAGAAGGCCTGAATACCTGTTATTAATTATGTTATTATGCCAAATAAAATCATTTGTGGCATCCAAGCCCTGCACTTAGGTGCAAGTAAAAGAGAGTCCTACAGTGTCTCTCCTAAAGAGAGATCTGAATGAATCATGGAGGCAGTTTCTGAAACATGAAAGTGTAAAACACGCCAAATAATGACATTCATATCTTTTGGTGATCAGTATGTGGTGTTTAATTTTCAATGTCTTTCACACCATCATCTCTTTGAGCACAGGAAGTCTGAGTATTTTCTTTGTGCCCAGTCAGAGGTTTAGTCTCATTTTCTCATGGACCACTCTGGAGAGTACTTCGGCTGCAGCAGAGGTCCCACCTGTCACTCTCCCCCGAATGGTAGCACTTTTGCACAAGTCCTCTCCGCTCGGTTATCAGGGCTCTCGGGTGAGGAGGGATCCAGCATCCTCATTCCCAGAAGTGTTCCTTGTGCACAGGGGCATTAAATGAGCATCTAATGAATCATTTGGAAACCACTGAAGAAACAGTTTTGCATCCTAAGCTGAAAGACTCGATCTTGGCTCTACCTCAGTACTGAACTCTTAGCATCCACTGGTGACAACAGCTAAGGCCACAGGGCCAACGATTTTGGTATCTAGAAGTGGAACAAATCTTTCCTCCCAAAAGAAAAGGTACATGAGGATGAGGCCTGTGGAGACTCATATATTGCTGTGCCTGGTTCAGTGAGGCTGGTCATAGCTGTTTTTATATCTGTTCAACAAATGGCTTACACCTGAGAGATGCACATGAAGAACAAGAGAGACTGGGGTTGAACTCTCTGAACAAAGCTCACAGCTCAGTTTAGGGATGAAACTCCAAGAGCCGAGTCTCATGTACTTAGCCTCCCGTGGACAGTCCAGTCTGTCTTCACTGGCAATAGCCTTTGCATGTTAAATCTGCATAAATGAAGGCCATCAGGGATGGACTGCTGCAGACAGATGGGTTTGAATGGAAGATCAATGCTATGGAAGAGTTTGACTATCTGGAAACACTGGCAGGGGCCAGCACCCTTGGTGCCCAAGCTGCAGGTCACCAAGGGCCTGGGAGGTGGCTGGGCAGTGCTTGCACTTAATTCATTGGGAGGAGAATTTCTGAAGAGGAGCCCTGGGAGGCCACAGCTCAGGATCAGAAAATGAGAGAAGCAAGAGAGCTGGGTGCAAAGGTGCTGGAGATGGGCACTTGGCTCTCCATGAGCACCCCGCAGGGAGGGCGACCAAGATGTGGGAGTCAGGTGGCTTTGCCCTTGGCTTTCTCAGGCACGCCATTCAGGATCTCCAACCCTTCCCGAGGCTCAAGGAGGAGCGCTGAGTCTATGTCCAATGTGGCCTCTGTTTCATGAAGGCCAGTAGTTTCATTTGAATGCCTTGATCCTTCCTATGAAGAGTGGTGGCTAGGAGCTTGAAAGCAAGTAGCACAGTGTCTGGGGGGCGGGGCTCCAAACTTACAAACATGCTTGGCCGCAAGAAGTGGGATGCAAACTCAATAGCACTCTAAGGCAGCTGTATGCTCGGCAGCTAGGAATCTGAGACTCCTGTTCCGGGGAAGCAACCAGAGGGAATGAAAAGAGGAGCCAAACAGAATACCACGCTGGTCTGCTTCCCTTCCTGGACTGGGGAGCGGCAGAAGTTCTAGTGAGTCATAAATTAACATTTTCCTTTTCTCAATTAGTTAAGTTTAATGATATACTTTATATATACATAACGATCACATTCAGCTCAGGGAGTTTGTACCTGTATATGATATATCTGGATGCTGTTTTTCCATTCCCTTCCCCTGCCTTCAACTGCTTGTCCTTCTTCCCTGCAAAATCTGGAGGAAGGGCGCCCAGCCACGACTCTGTCTTCCTATCTCCACGGTGATTTAAAAAAAAAAAATACAAAGGGACTGGGAAGATGGCTCGATGGAATAAGTGCTTCCCTGGCAAGCGCAGGGCCTGAGGTCAATTCCCGGTTCCACCAAAAAAAAAAAAAAAAAAAAAAAAAAAAATTAGCTGACCGAGTACACCCCCAGAAAAACTGATTTAATTGATCCATAGTGGTAACAGTATTTTTAAAAGCTGCCAAGTTTTTAAGTGTAGTAAGTGTTGAGAAAAATCACTGAGCTGGAGGGTAAAGAGAGAGATGGACGGGGTCGGGGAGGGAAAAATGGAATAATTCACTTTCGCTTCCCCACTCAGAATCTGGCAGTGTTTTCCAAAACGTGACATGACTACAGGTGGTTCTTGAGACATTTGATTCAGCAGCATGGATAAGCATTCTTTGGAGAAACAAAAACCTACATATGCACGCAAATGTATCTCTACATATGTGCACCAATAAATATATTTGAATAGATAGTGGAAACATGTGACCATTCATTCCAACAAGCTTGAGGTTTTCAGTATATTACTGATTAGGAGAAGGCCAGCTGGTACCTAAAGGTTAGAAAGGCCTTTTACATGCACATTCTGTAAGTTGCAGCACAGGGACGAAGTGGCTATGGACACAGCAAAAACTTCTCAAAGAGGCAGGCAAACCTGGCATTTAAAGATGAGAACTTCCCTGCAGATGTTCCCGTCCCAGGACGTGACCCTGTAGCTGGTGCAAGGCGCTCTCCCGGAGGCTGGCTCATTGCTAGCTCAGGGGACTTCGGAGTGTGGCACCAGCCCACGGGGGGCTCTTTTGCATTCACAGTCCCTGTCTGATCACAGAAGCTACACAGGGTAACTTACTTTTCTTCTTTTGGATTTAGGTCCGATCTAAACTTCGGGGAGGGTGCTAGGCCTTAGCGAAACCAGAGGAGAAAGCAATGTTCACAAGGTGTTCCGGCCTGCCTCACAGGCCAAAAGCTAAACCCAAGGGACCTAAATCCAGGTTATGCAAACTCAAAGGAAAGGGTGTGTGTGTGTGTGTGTGTGTGTCCTAAACCAAGCAAACAAAACCTGCCTGAGAGCCACTGCCCCGCTAACGTTTGGCTCAGGAATTTGCCATTCTCAGGGCATGATGCAACCTCGGTTGCCCAATTTCTATTTGTGCATTCCCCCCTTGCCCACAAGGAGCTTCGAAAGCTTCCAACTCCAAAGGATCCTTTGAGCTAGCAGCCCAAGCGTTCCTGGCTCAGAAGGCTGCTGCTAAGGGCCAGGCGATGCTGCCGGCCTTTACCTGGACCCCACACAGGAGCTGAGCGGGTGGGGAGTTCTGCGGGGGACCTGGGAACCGGGAGATACCGGGGCCTGAGAAAGTGGGTGAGGCCGCACGTCTGCCTTTCCCCGCCATCCTCCCCACGCCCACTGGATCAGAAAGTGCCACCTGCCTCCGCCGGCCGCCCGCGCCTTCCGGATCCAAAGGGCAGCGCGGATGGCAAGGGCGAGCGGGCGAATGGTGCCAGGCCTGCGGCTCCGCCTCCGCCCCGCCCGCCGCCCCACATCCCGCGGCCTCGGCCACCGGGCAGCAGGTGCGGCGTAACAGGTGCGGCGTGGCCGGGAGGGGGCGCAGGGCGGAGGCGGCGGGCGCGGGGACCCGGACGACTCTCCCAGCCCTCCCTGGAGCCCAGGGAGCCGTCGCCACCCGCCCGGCCCGGCCGCCGCGACCCCGACGCCGCGCCACTTACGATCTCCAGGCAGACGAAGGCGCCCGAGTAGGTCCGCAGGATGTCGGGCCCGGCGGGCAGGGTGACCCGGGGCGACGGGAAGGACACGGCGGGGTTCGGGGGCGGCACGGACGCCCCGCCGGCCGACATTCTGCCGCTGCTGCCCTCAGCGGGCTCCGGTCCCGCTCCGCCGCCGCCGCAGCTCGGCCGGGACGGGCGGGGCTGGTAGGAGGGGCCGAGGGCGGGCGGGGCCAGAGACCCCGCCCCATCACGTGGGCCCAGGTGCGCCGCCAGGTGCCCAGGTGAGCCCGCGCCCTGCTGTCCGGTGGCTTCGCGGGGTCCCCAGGGCTCCCCGGGCTCTGCACCCCCAAGGCCTTTCCAGCCCCCACTGCCCTATCCCCCACACAGTTGGTCCTCCCCCCATTCCGCGTTGTCACGGGAGTGTAAGGACTGGGGCTGACCCAGAGGGTAAACTCCCTGTCTCCGGCCTCATCTTGAAAGTGGGTTTGTAGTGGGGTTTTTATTTTTTATCTAGTGATTTGTCTGGTTACTATTTCATGAACAAGTAATGAACACCTTAACGCCGATAGCGCGCCTATCCGAGAGGGTAAGTTTCATCCTAGGGAGGTGCGATCCTTAAAGCTGGTTCCAGGAGCTGCAAGGTCCTGGGTGTTTCCAGATGAAACTGCTGGAGGCGCAGACACGGGGTCAGCCCCGGCGCCCCCGTGCGCGGCCACGCTCTCTCCGCTTCCTAAGCTCACGGTTACAATTCACTTTTCCTTGGTCATCCTCTTTACATTGCTGTCGTCTGACAGGGAAGGGCTACACGTTTTTATGTAAAGTGTGGAATGTCTACAGGAACAGGTAGAAGAGGATCATCCTAAACACCCACGAGACGCGGGTGGGCAGCGTGGGACTCAGGTGACTCAGCTGCACCGCTGCTGGCAGGGATCCCGGCAGGGCAGGTAACCGGCTGCTGCGCCCCAAGGGCGGCGTCTACCTCGCGTGCCTGTGCAGGTTGTCTCCTACTCCGCGACAAGTAGGCGCTCCTTAAAGGACAGCTGGTGATGAGCGTTTTTCTAATTTTTATACGCATCCCATTGCGCCATGGACGCAAGCTATTGCCTAGGTGGTTCTATCTGCCACGTAAGACTTTAATTTTTTATTTCGTCTGCCAGAAACTTCTTCCCCTTGCCTTTTAAACACTTCAGATCTCTTCATGAAAGGATTCTGTGCATGGCTTAGGTCCTGTTCATTAATCTAGCATTTGTCCCTATTTTGTTGGAATTAATGCTACATTTTCCCAATGAAATAAAAGAGGTAAGATTATTTTTTGTCGAAGACCACCAGGAGAAAAACTACACACAGGCATACGTGTCAATCAATTTCGCTGAGATCGTCAGATGCTCTCCGCATGGAATCCTGGTCTTGTCTACCAAGCTTAGAGTTTGAGAAGCCATTTTGCTCTATGCACTGGTGAGCAGGTTTAGGTTACCTGTGCCTATATTCTTTCAATACCAAAACTCAGAGGTGTGGTGGTGGCAACAGGATAAAGACCCCAAAGCAGGCTGTAGGTGAAACCTTCCGTGTGTACCTACCATCACCTCTGATGCGTGACTTTCTGGTGCTTAATAGGAAATTTTGGGTTTTCTTCATTTATTTGACCAACACACCCTTTCTGCATTCCAATCCTCATTGGTGGAATGATCTGCTTTATTTTATTTTTTGCTGAAGAGTTCTCAATAAACACTCAAAGGTTATTTAAAGGGGAGATTGCTTCAAAGAACGTGTGTGGCAATGCCCGGTAGCCTCGGTATGTCCAGAGCATTCGAGGGCATGCCCTGGAAGCCACTTGGAGTTTCCAGACATGCTGTTCGCACTGAAGAGCTTCAAATGGGCTCATGTTAAGAATGGTTCCCAAGGGGAAGTTTGTCCTATGTCCCTTCCAGCACCTTCCTTGTCACACACATTCCCCTGCCCATGCCTTCTTGTCTCCTTCCACAACCAGCAGTCCAACAAAAAAGATTCTCATGGAATCCCCTCCCACTGCAGCATACCTGCTTGAAAATGAACTTTTTTCTAGAATGGTTTCCCCTTCTCAAGATCCCTCCCCAGCACCTGTGTTTTCTTGATAGTTCTAGTGAATCCAGCAACCCTAGAATCAAAGTGAGGAAAGCACTGTCCCGTCCCACACCACCATCCCGCCCCACACCACCATCCCGCCCCACACCACCATCCCACCCCACACTACCACTGTCTCTCTCCCTGTAACTGACCATGAGCTCTTAGTACTGTCACGTTTCTGTCCTTTCCTTCTCCACTTCCGTGCTTTACTGACCTCCACTGCATGGACTTCTTTACACCCCATTTCCTGGGATGGCAGTTTTGTATTGAATATGCCTTCAGCAGTCTTGCTTCACAATGGCTTGCTGTCTCCTGTGAAATGCAATCCCCTCAGTGCCTACATTGTTCCTGGGAATTTTGTCCCTGTCATTCTTCCTGAAGAGGACCCTCTATTCCTTTATTTCTCTTTCATTGGGTCTTTGGACCACAGTTCTGTACTCCTTACCTCTTCTCTCATTGGCCCCATCCTAATCTTTCTGGTGTCCCCAGCCAGCTGGTGTCATGGACAGGCATTTTAAGGATGCCATATTAATGCCCCCCCCCCGCTCTCTACTGCTAATGCACCTTTGCTGCTCCACACTTTTCAGCTAAGCTCCTCTTCACCAGCTACACCTTCCCTCTGTGATCCACTGTCACACTTTCCAAGACTGCTTTAGGTACAGCAGAGCCAAGACTCCAGGCTCTAATCACATTAGGAGCCTGGCTTGGGCTTTTGGACTTCTCGGTGGTCCTTTTACTCCATCTGCCCATCTTCCCTGTAGTCTGACAGGGAAGGACTACAAATTTTCATGTTTTATTATGTAAAGTGTGGTTTGTCTACAGGAACAGGTAGAAGAGGATCATCCTAAACACCCGTAAGACACTGGTGGGCATATTTAAAGTGAGCTAATTAACCTCTGTGTGGTTATTATCTACTGCTTCTTTCACTGTCCCTATCTTTGTGCTTGGTGCAAGTGGACAATATGTTGAAGAAAATAAATCTAGACCACACCAGTCTTACCTTCTCTCTTTTATTTTGCAGGACATTTTAGAACATCTAACCAGTAATACTTGTTTCACTGTAAGCACTGCTGTTAATCCAGTTACCGAGATAGACACCTGGGCGTTTCCCTCAGCCCCTCCACTTCATGCTACAGCTTTCATCACTTGCAGGCGCTGGCAACTCGCCTGTGTGCTCCTGGGGGTGTCGCCCTTCTCCCCAGCCCCCTGTTCTCATCCTGCAGCGCAGGGCACTACCCCTCTCACAATGAATACTGCAGCTGCCTTGCTTCCCTGCCTCCTATGCTCCACCCTGCCATAAGAATGACTTCTGAACACAAGACTCATCCCACTCAGTTCCCAGAGGGATACCCTGTGTTCCCTGCTCTTATTAGGATTGATTCCAAGCACCACAGTCTAGAGTGTGGCTTCTGATGACTCCTTGGTCCACTAATCCCTGCTTCCGGTCTGCATGTTCTCTCTCTGGTGCAGTGGCGGCACACCTGTGGCACACATGGCACTGTGGGCATGAAGGCTGTGCTGGCCATGGGTGAAGCCATTCTAGCGTTGCCCCAGCAGCTGAGTGTTGGGTAGCAACATTGACACCTTGCAAAATAAGTGAGTTTTATGCTGTGGTTTGGATAGTAGAACCCTAAAAGTTTGACCAGAGCTGCAGTGGAAAACATATTTCTTCTTTCAGACAAACTTCATGGATAACATGTGTGTGTTAGGAACGGCTCTTTCTAGTGTCCTGCCCTGGCTGAGTGTCCCCAGGACCTGCTATGCTTACCCCAAGGTAGAACCATTGTTTTACTGAGCAGAAATGGTTTCTTCACTTGTCCCCTACCTTAGCCCTTACTGTATAGCAGGATATTAAAATGAAAGGTCAGCAGAGGAACCAAGAAATGATGGCTATCGCGTGCGCGGATGAGCGAGGAGTCAGACTGCTGGAAGTTTTAAAGAGAGCTAATTAAACAATCTACCGATCCTTTCCTTTCATCAAGAATATGGAAATCTCAGGAATTAGAGAATCTGAAAAGGGGGGCAAAGAAATCGCACCTCGTGCTCCCCCTCTGCCGTTGTCTCTCCCTCATGGGAGGAGGTAGTTGAACTTGATTCACGGTGCACGCTAGCCACTCAAGTCACAGCAGCTGACCAAGTGGGCTCTGCGTCTCCATTTCTCTGCTTTATCACTGTTTCTTCTTTCCTGCTTCATCAAAATTTTATGTTGCCTTACGTACACAAGGTTAAGCCCTACCCCAGCTTTCCATTATTTTCCCTTTATGGTTCCTTTAGGCAATCCACCCATTAACTTTCTTTCTCTTCAGCTTTCCAAGTGCACGTTACACATTCTTCTTCCAGGAATGGGAATAAATTTCACTTATCACCAAAAACCAGCAATGCCTTATTTCTGCCCAGAATAACATAACAAAACTTTGTTATCCTGGACTTACCTGCTTTGCATGAAGGAACCTAAACCCTAGAGGATTTGATAGTTTTCAGGCACTACACAACAGGTGATGCATAAGTGATGGTGACCCGTTGCAGATGGGAAGACAGTGATGAGAGCCCAGACTTCCCAGCTTGGAGAATGACTCCAGAGCATGGGGAGGGGGGTCCCTGGGGGCAGACCTGGAGCTCCCATGGGTTGTGGTGGAGCCAGGAATTGGAGAGACCCAGGGGGTCAGCGCTTACTGAGAGCCAGAGAAAGGCGCTACATACAGAGGAAGGCAGAAGCGAGCAAAGGGTCTCCTAAAATCCTGAACCGAGTGCTGAGCGGCACAGGACAGTAAGTCACATACCTGAGGCCATGAGGCACCAGGCCAAAGAAGCAGAGAAACACTTCCAGGCATTCCTACGGGGCTGAGACAGTGCCATCTCCACCAGTCAGAGTGCAGGGTCTCCTGTTCAGAGAGGTCTTGCCTCAGTTCTGAGGAGAAGTCAGTGCTGCGCAGGAGGCTGCTCTAGCTCTACCTTACAAAGCTTTACAAAAAGCACCAGAAAATCAAATAGCTCACGTAAGTCACACAACAATGTTCAAGAATATGGTAGGAGTACAGAAAACTGTCCAGTGATCAGTGAGGTAGTTCACAGTGTCTGGGGTCCAGTTGAAAATTACCAGGACT